TATCTTCCCAGTTTTGGCTTTTCTTCTCACTTCTTGTTAACCAGTCCCAGATTTTAAAATCCTCTCTTCAGACTGCCTCTGGGACCAAGATATCCAGGCCCAATGTCCTTCACTAGGAAGAACCTGTCTCAAGCCTTTTGACTGTTTTCCCAGTCTTTCCTCCATTTGTAGGCACTTGGAGCTCTTCCTGTCTTCAAGTTCTTCACCTATTTTCTTACCCTGTTAATACTGTTTCTCTCTCCCAGTCTCTCCTTCCATCCATCTTTCACTCTTCAGAGAATTATTTCTATCTGACATCATCAAGTTACTCTTTTCCAGTTGTCATGGTTTTACTGGCTCCCAGAAACTTAGTAGGAATTTCTCCCTTCCCCCTGCCACTGTGTGCAGAGCTATTAGGTGAACACTTAAGAGACACAGAAGAACTGGCTCTCTCGCTGATTGCCCAGAACTTAGTCTCCTAGGAAATAGGTGAGATGAGGGGCTACTTTTTACTTTTTTCTCTCGTCTCCTGGGAAACGGGGGAAGGAGTTTTGTGGGCTGACCGTGGCTGGAACACAGGTCAGAGTGGAAGCTCGGCGGTTTCTGTTGTTCTTGACCTGCTTGACAGCTATGGACCCTGCCTGGATTTTTCATCAGAGAGGAGCTGTTTTTCTGGAGGTTTTTTTTTTCCCCTTCTCCATTCCCATTTGTTTTTTTCCTGGCAGTGGTCCTTGTGCACATCAGGGGGAGAGAGAGGACTGTGCCGCACAATTTGACCAGCCAAACAAAATGAGTTTGGGTGTTTTTTTTCATTGGGAGGAGTTTGTTGTTGTTTCCCTTCCCCCTCTCCCCTTTTTCAGTGTGAGGGAGGGGAAACCCAGATTGTTTTGGGTTTCTCTAACACACCCCAGAGGGTGTTACCCCCAGTGGCAACGACCAGTGATCCCACAGCGCCCCCTGCTGGTCAGCATAAGTAACTGCAGGTGCTGCATCTCCAGTGACCCAACAGCACCACCTGGTGACTGGCACAGGACATTACAAGCTCTGCATCTCCAGTGACCCAACGGCACCCCCTGTTAACTGTGATTGGAATTGCACCAAAGGGCACAACCTGAACTGTTTACCTTTTTTTTCATTTGCTTGTATATTGGTTTGTTTTGGAGGGGATTCTCTGTGGGCATAGGAGTATTGTTTGGTTGTTTTACTTGTTTTTTCCCATGTTTCTGCCAATACACATATACCTTTTAATAAAGGGTTGTTATTTTTCCTTTTCCATAAATTTTTTTTCCTTCAGTTGGAACCTCTAATTTTGGATTTAAAATTGCTTAGAGGGAGAAGTTTGGGTCTTTTCTCATAACTCATTCTCAGCAAAACACCTGTATCTCATTTAAGCTGGGACACCACTC